ATTTCCTTCTTCACTGTAAAAAGTGAGCGCTAAAAACGTTCTGTTTCCTGGAGCTTTCCGGTTTATTCGGAACGACAGGCTCTTGAATTCTGTTTGAATGCGTAGTCCTTCACTTTTAAACAGTGAATATTAAGTTAGAAGCCAGAATGAACCATTTTTCAAGCCTGTTTTTAATGTGGATATAATTAGAATAATTCTCATATGACACATGGTCTTTGGAGGAGATGTCATTTGTAACCATGTAATGTTGATGTTGCTAGCTGTGTCTTTTGTTAACCCATTGCTCACGTAGATCTGAAATGCCACACTTCTAAGTTTAATTGTAAATTATATAATATATATACATTATAATCCTTTAGTCAATGCAGATGGGCTCCCGTCCCAGATCCACTAGAGTCTGCATTGATTGGAGAGGGCCATTCTGACTTGGTGTCTGCAGGAAATCTGCTGGCTTCTGATGGCATTGGCTTCCATATTTTCTCTTTGTTTTTTGGAGTTACTATAACATTGCACTGTATAGTGCACAGCATAAAATTATGCAATATTTTGCATAAATATTCCATGGCAGTTTTTGTTTTGAAATAAAGCAAAGATGAATCAGATACAGTGGCTTTAACTCTGCCCTTAGAGTTTGAGCAGCTACGAAGTCTCTGTAAGGTACCAGGTGGGCGGTGACTGCAGTGGCTCCCATGCAGGGCAGACGGATGTTGCTCTGGGACCCTCTGTGGAAGGAGCAAGCGGGAGACGTGGGAAGGACATGGGTCTCAGTCCCTGCTTTCCTACCGATCACCAGGTCACCTTACCTTTTTGGTAAAGGGATAATACCTGCTTTGCCACCCTTATGATGTTGCTACAAAGGTCAAATGATGTATGGACTTGAAAGGATTTTGTCAGCAAAAATTATGCAGGAGGCGGGTAGTTTTCCAACCTTTCTTGTGTTGCAAATCAGAATAACTAAAGAGTATGTTCCCTGGAACAGAGCATGGAAGGGAGGCTTCAGAGAGGACGTGGCATCCTCTCCAAGACATCCCTCCATCTTCAGGCTGGGATGCTCTGAGCGCTATTTCTGTGGTCCTCTCTGTCTGGTATTGGCATCATGAATCATCATGTTTGAGCCACCAATCTGCTGTTTTTAAGTAAAGGAAATCTCATAGATCGTACAATTTCTAGCCTATTACGTTGTACTTGGTGTGTTTCACAGATTTGTAGAATGCGTACATGTATTTGAATGAACCTGCCCTACACAAATCTCAGTTAACGTCTACACATTATTTTAACACTGTAGAATGAGGAAAATCTTGGTTCACCTTGAAAAATTAGAATTTTTACGCATATGGTTCTTAGCATGTGTGAATAGTTTTAGAGTGTACAGTATGTTCTAGACGTGTGGAGGGATTTGAATAGAAGTATTGATCTCCGGAATGGCTGTTAAACTAATCAATTATTTATGCTAAATCTCTTCTACTCAGGAGTCAACTTGTGAGCTTTTGTGTACTAAGAACACAAACTGTGAGTCTCTTTCTGTTTTGTAAATAAGTTCATTTGTCTTTTTATTTTTTTAGATTCCACATATGAGTGACATCATATGGTATTTTTCTTTCTCTTTCTGGCTTACTTCACCTAGAATGACGATCTCCAGGTCCATCCATGTTGCTGCAAATGGCATGATGTTATTCTTTTTATGGCATAGTGGTATTCCATTGTATAAATATTCCACAACTTCTTTTTCTTGTCATCTGTCAGTGGACATTTAGGTTGTTTCCATGTCTTGGCTATTATAAATAGTGCTGCTGTGAACATTGGGGTGCGTGTGTCTTTTCGAATTAAAGTTCCCTCTGGATATATGCCGAGGAGTGGGATTCCTGGGTCATAAGGTAAGTCTATTCCTAGTCTTTTGAGGAATCTCCACGCTGTTTTCCATAACGGCTGCACCAAACTGCATTCCCACCAGCAGTGTAGGAGGGGTCCCTTTCCTCCACAGCCTCTCCAGCATTTGTCATTTGTGGACTTTTGAATGACAGCCATTCTAACTGGTGTGAGATGATACCTCATTGTAGTTTTGATTTGCATTTCTCTGATAATTAGCAATATTGAGCATTTTTTCGAAGAGGGGAAGAGGGTAGGAAGGGATAAATTGGGAGTTTGAGATTTGCAGATATTAACTACTATATATAAGATAAACAACAAGTTTCTGTATAGCACAGGGAACTATATTCAATATCTTGTAATAACATATAATGAAAAAGAATACGAAGAGGAACATATGTATGTATATGTATGATTGAACTATTATGCTGTACACCAGAAATTGACACAACATTGTAAAGTGACTATACTTCAATTTAAAAAACAAAAAAAACAAAACAAACCCACAACCTAAAACGTCGGAGAAAGGCTGTCACCTCTGATCGGCACCAGTAGAGGGCGCCGACGGTCACAGAGGTCCCTGTAGTCCTGGCATCAGGCCCATTTCATCGTCTGGTGCCCGTCTCTGTGCTTAGATTTGCATTGTTTTAAGAACACTAATAACCCCGTAATAGCTGATGAGTACAGAGCAGTGAGCTGTGGAAAGTGCTAGTAAGAAAGGGCACACGAATGATGGGACATTGTGCTAACACCAGAAATTGACATTGTAACTGACTGTACTTCAATTAAAAGAAAAAAAGCAAAGGCACATGATGGTGATAGGAAAAATTCAGGTAGTAATTTTTAGAGAAGCGAGTGATAAGAAAACAATGCTGTGTGTGTTCAGGAGATGAATAGTGCAGTTGCAGGAATAATTCTGTGGGACGAGAAATAAATCATACAGGATATTGAGGGTGTTGTGACCACGCGGATGACAGTAGCTGTGAAGTGATGGAGGAGCACGTTTGACAAAGTGGACACATAGGACTTAGAAGAGCAGTGTCAGATGCTTGTTAGCCTGAAGCTGATTCAGGAGACAGCCAAGAGTTTGTTCAAGAGCTTAAAGGCTGATCACAGGGTGTGTTGCCGATGAAATCTTGTTTCCAGGATCCGCTCGTGGCAAACACCCAGGACCCTCTGAAACAAGCAGGTGGAGAGACTGGGGCCGCAGCCGCGTCTCCAGCGCCCAAGGAGGTATCAGCGGAGCCCGGTTACTGCCTCCTAATTTTCAGCAGAGGAGAAACCGATCCCTTTGGCAAAAGGATGCCCCACAGATCTGTCACTGAGGGAAGGGAAAGTGAGCCGTTTTTAAAGCTCACGTTCCTGAGAGTGGAAACGTATTCGGGGACCGCAAGCTCGAGCCCTTCAGAGTCATCTTGGACTTTGGAACAGACAGCCTGACACAAAACCTGTTGGAACCGTTCTGATCTGTTCTTCAGAAGGCTTTGGACCTACAACTCATTTTCCCGTCATGACAAAGTTGATACAGTAGTGTAAGTGTACACTCTGGCGCGGGCCAGAGTGTGATCCCACCAGGCTCACAGCGCCGCCGAGACTTGTCCCTTCATCTGGAGACGGGCGTCCTGTGGTCCCGCCATCAGTGCTGTTGTGGGAGCAAAGCTGACACCCCCAGGGCCCTGACACAGAGCCTGGTCAGGATTGGCTCAGGGACCAGCAGCCATCAGTGGAATCAGCATTAACTGTGTTCCCCACCGTCAGTAAAAGACCTCAGTGGGGAATACAGTGCCGCCAGCCTTAGTGGCCAAGATAGGCCACACTCGGGAACAAACAGACCAAAAAGGCAATGGTTGAAACACAACGGAAGTTCATCTTTCTCCCTTGTAACATCCGGGATGGCATTCTGGTCCAGGAGGGCTCAGGTCCACACAGCCATTCAGGGACTCAGGCTTTTGGAGGTTCCGCTGTCTCGTAGAGTGGCTGGTGTCAGCATCCCAGCCCAAAGGAAGGGGGAGGTGGCCTGGAGACACGTGTGAAGGAGGTTTTAAAGGCCGTTCAGAAGTGGCCCATACCAGTCACCACCTGCATTATTTTAGAGATAATTATTCACATGGCCCCTGACTGCCTGGAGAGCGGGAAATGCAATGTATCCAGGTAGCCACAGGCCAGCCACTGAGAAAAAAGGGGCAGAATTGAGGTATGCATACCGGCCCGTTACATAGCATAGAAATAATCCTAAAGTACCTTTTGTGCTCCGCCCGAATCTCGGTTTCAACCTTTTGCTGAAAATTTGCAAGCGTTCTGATCGATGCCAGAGTTCAGGAAGGAGTCCTCGGCACAGACACAGAAGTCGTGGTTCCGTGGATCAGGGGTGGCTCTGTCGGCCACACAGGGCACGTGGCTGCCCCTGCGGGCCTTGGCTCAGACTGTGCCCTCAGGCCAGGGACCTGGTGACAGGGACTGGTGTAACTGACCCGTTTAAGAGGCGCCTGGTGTGACAGGCCAGAGGGCTTGGCATGTGGCCCACAGGAGTGACCCCAGGGGAGCCAGGCAGCAGATCTGGGAACCCCACTGGGAGATCCATCCAGAGCAGATCCTGAGCTGGGGAGTGGAGCCCGGGGAGGAGCAGGAGGAGGTGATCAGGCAGGGAAGTGGGCGGGGCTCCCGGGCACCAGGTGGTCCAGGTACGTCTCCAGCCCTAGACGGGGAGCAAGGTGCGTGCAGTTAAGGGGCAGAGACGAAGGCGTTTCTCTGGTCCAGCCTAAAACAGGGGATGGGGTAAAACAAAGATTAAGAGAGGAAGAGGAGAATTTAAATCAAGGGGTAGTGTTGGTGTCTCCAAGTCATCCCAGGGTTCCTGGGCCAGCTGGGAGCAAAACACACCCGCCTGCTGTAGGCGAGCCGCCAGCTGCCATCTCTTGGGCAGAGATTCACCTCTAACCCTACCGAGCGCGGAGGCCGAGGCTCGCGCACCTGCCTCCTCGGCCAGACCTGGCTCAGGAAGTCACCTGCTGGTGGGAGACCCGGGTGGATCCCGGTGTGGGCATGGGGGCAGCTTTAGGGGACGTCATCATGAGAGCAGCTTTAACAGATTATCTCCTGAAGTGGCATAAAAATGTGTTTCATTTAATTTTTAGTCACCCTCTGGTTCCTTCAGAAATATTCAACAAATGTTGGCAGACTCTATCAATCGGATGAAGGGATACAGATTTCGCCAGGTAAAAGCCTTACGCTCCATCTTCAGGGGGCTAAACGCACAGCCATTTCCATGACTGTTTCACAGACGGGTGTATTAGTCTCGTGCAGAAATGCAATGAAGCAGCAGAATGTGGAATTTGTCTTTGAAAAGCGGGTGAACGTAGCTATTCATCTTTACCTGCTTATCTGGAGGCGGAGGAGTCTTGAGTCTCCTGGAAACTCCTCTCTGAAGATCTGAAACAGAGACAGTGTCGTGGGCCAGGCAGGCGCTGGGGGAAGACTGATTTCAGAGAGTGATAAGTGAAGCATGAAACTTGGCAGAAACCGCGCATTCAGATTAAGTTCCCTGTGTGTTCACTGCTTCTTGAGCCTGTCCCTCTGCGCTGAGCAGGTGCTTGTAGCCCGAGTGCTTGGTGCCTGCAGCCCCCCTCCAGGCACCCAGACCCCCGGGTCCATCCAGACGGGGCCCTGCGGCTCCCCAGCCCCCACATTCTGTTGCAGCAGTGCCGCGTGTACTGCTCACCGTAACCGAGGCAGAGACTGGATCCCGTGGAGAATCTGACCCACGGAAGGTCTGAAAAAGGGGGGTGGATAAGAGATGAGGCTCTAAAAAGGTTCTGACTGGTCTCAGGTCTGATTCAGAGGCGGCCCAGGCCAGGTTCGTGTGGACCGTGTGACCGATGCCCTGACTCCCCTGTAGGGCCAGGTGTGACATGGAGAGCTGGCACGTCGGAGACTGAAGTCATGGGGAAGCTGTGACCCTGAGGGCCTCGTGGCCCTCTGCTCCCGTAATATGTGCCTCTTTCTAAAACAGTAACAATAGAGGGACCGGAGTGACAGTAAACAAAACAGACACAATCCTGCCCTCAGGAAGCTTGTACTCCTGACGGAGAGACAGATGATAAATAGATGAATGAAGTCAGGTGGTCAAAGGAACACCTGGTCTTGAGAAAAAGGATGCAGGATAAGGATGCTGAGGATGGCGGGGAGGGTGGGAGTTGATTTTTTCAAGGGGTAGTCAGGGAGGGCCACCCTGAGTAGGTGATGTTGGAGCAGAGGCCTGAAGAAGGAGGGGAGGGTGACAGGGATGGCTGGGGAAAGTTTGTTCCAGGCAGAGGGAACAGCACATACGTGGGCACAGAGGCGAGAGCTCTTGGATGTGGCTGTTACATTTATTCCTAGGTATCTTTTTTTTTTTTTGACATGATTTTAAATGGGATTGTTTTTTGACTTTCTCTTTCTGATATGCCGTTATTAGAGTAAGGAAATGCAATGGGTTTCTGTGCATTAATCTCGTAGTCTGCTACCTTGCTGAATTTGTTTATTCTAACAATTTCTGTGTGGAGACTCCAGGGTTCTCTTTGTAGAGTATCATGTCATTTGCAAAAGTGGGAGTTTTACCTCTTCCCCTCCAATTTGAATACCTTTTATTTCTTTTTCTTGTCTGATTGCTGTGGCTAGGACTTCAATACTATGTTAAATAGGAGTGGTGAGAGTGGGCATCCTAGTCTTGTCCCTGTATTTGCTGGGAAGTCTAGTTTTTCATCACTGAGTGTGAGGTTGGCTGTGGATTTGTGGTAAATGGCCTTCATTTGTTGAGATGGGTTCCCCCTATACCCACGGTGTTGAGAATTTCTATCATGAATGGACATTGAATTTTGTTCAATGCTTTTTCTGTGTCTGTTGAGCTAACCATGTGGCTTTTGTCTTTTCTTTTGTTAATATGGTGTACCACCTTGATTGATTAGCATGTTTGAACCATCCCTGTGACCCTGGAATGAATCCAACTTGATCATGGTATATGACCTTTTTATGTTTTGCTGGATTCAGTTTGCTAATCTTTTGTTAAGGATTTTTGCATCTATATTCATCAAAGATATTGGCCTGTATCTTTCTCATTTTGTAGTGTCTTTGTCTGGTTTTGGTATTAGGGTGATGGTAGACTGAATTCGAGAGTGTTCTCTCATCGCCAGTTTTTTGGAAGAGTTTGAGAAGAACTGGCAGAAGTTTGGTAGAAATCCCCAGTGAAGCCATTTGGTCCTAGACTTTGTTTGCAGGGAGTTTTTGTTTTTGTTTTTTTTAAATTACAAATTCTATTTCACTTCTAGTGATGGGTCTGTTAAGTGATCTGGTTCTTTTTGACTCATTTTTGGCAGGCTGTATGTTTCTAGACGCTTGTCCATTTCTTCTGCATTGTCTGATTTGTTGGCATCTAGCCATTCATAGTATTCTCTTAGGATTTTTTTGTATTTCCATGGTATCAGTTGTTAATTCTCCTCTTTCATTTCTTATTTTATTTGGTTCCTTTCTCTTTTTTTCTTGGTGAGCCTGGCTAGAGGTTTGTCAATTTTGTTTCTCTTTTCAAAAAACCAGCTGTTGGTTTTATTCAACTTTTCTGGGTTTTTTTTTAACATCTGTTATTTATTTCCTCTCTGATCTTTAGTATTTCTTTCCTTCTGCTGACTTAAGATTTTGTTTGTTCTTCTTTTCTAATTCCTTTAGGTGGTACATTAGGTTGTTTATTTGAGATTTTTCTTGTTTTCTGAGGAAGACCTATGTTGCTATGAATGTCCCTCTTAGAACTGCTCTTGCTGCATCCCACAGATTCTGTAAGATTGTGTTTTCATTTTGGGGCCCTCTGTCCCATTCCACTGATCTATATGCCTGTTTTTGTGCCAGTACCATGCCTAGTGTCCACCTCCTTGCAGGAGACTGTCAGAGACCCTCACCAGTGTTTGTTTGTGGTTTTTCAAACAGAAGAAAGAATCCGTGAAGAAAACACAAGGTGAAGAAATAAAACAAATAGATGAAGAGAAAACCAAACAGATTTATAAGAACTGGAAAGAAGATTCGGAGTGGCAGGCCTCTTGTGAGTACCGAGAATCCTCTGTAACACCGAGTTGTTAAATCTGTTTGCTCACTTAATTAGCTGACCCATCTAGGAGGCACTTAAAGTGGTTGTTGGGAGATGTTTTCACACTAAATTACTATTCAAAGGCTATGAACCACTTGTTGAATAGCAGAAAGGTTCTCAATTCATCTTGAAGTCAAACATAACAGCAGTTGGCCAATAATGCCTGAAGTGCGGATAGACTCAGGAAAAATTAGCCTTACCTCCCGCTTCAGAGTCTTTTAAGGGTAGGTTACTAAAACAAAAACAGCAAAACAAGCACCCTCTGTGTTACAAAGCAGCCAGAAAAGGCAGCCTTGGGACACTTTTATGCACCTATGCAGTGTGTGTAAGGACCATTTAGTTTTTGGTGTGGGAGACTGAGTCCCTCGTGGTCCAGCCATGTGGGCTCTGGGCGTGGCCCTGCTGCCTGTCCACCGTGTCCACAGCTCTGAGCCCCTGAGGGGTTCCTGGTCTTTGCTAGTGATGCCGGGCGCGAGTGTGAAGATGTGGCATCACTTTCTCAAGCCCCGCTGTTTTTCTAGTGCGAAAATCCAAAGCAGCTGATGAGAGGAGGCGCTCTTTGGCCAGACAGGCGCGGGAAGACTACCAGAGGCTTTCCCAAAGAGGGAGAAAAAGCGGGGGCCGCAGAACTCCCAGGGTGGCCCCCCGCAACCCAGAAGGCCCCCTCTTCCCCCCAAGCCTCAGTTCCTGAGCTCAACCGGACACCCTGACAAACCTCTCAGGTAAGATGCTCGCAGGTGGCTTTAAGCAAAAGCGATGAAACCAGCCAATTAAAGATAAATTGCGTGGCCACCATGGGGTGCCAGTCAATCTGGCCCCACCTCTGAGCCTGAGATGCTGGGGTCCCTGGGCAGCCTTCATCCCTCCTCATCTGTAAATGCCATTGCCAGTACCATGAGCACGGCCAGTGACTTCATGCAGACCGGGTGATGACTCCCTGTGCCCCCAGCCCAGCCTGCCCCCACCTGGTGGCAGCCAGCGAGGGGAGGAGGGACAGCTGCGGGGGTCGTCACAGCAGGGATCCAGAGCTGGCTGGCCTTGACATCATCAGCGAAGCAACATTTCTATGGCTCGAGATTAAAGATTTGATGCTCATTCTGGGATACACAGCCAAGCTCACCATCTGGGAATTTAGAAATGTTCCTCTTTTGAATGAAGACTTTATTTGGTGATGATGGTACCTTGGCCTCCTAGGCTGGGGGAGAATTAGATAGAGCAATTTGTTTCGGAAAATCCCTGAAGAAAAACACAGTGACATCACAGCAGAAACCCCCACCCGGATGTTAACTATAAAATCGGTTTCTCTTGGTGAGGAACATTATATGATATTTTCATATTCCGGTGTGTAGAAAGATGATATTTATAACAACCAGGAGGAATCAAATATTGACTTAGTGAAACACAGCTGTCTAAAGCCTTGTCTTCTGAAATAAAAACTTAAAATCTTTCTCTGTTACCAGTAGGGAGAAATAAAAAGCAAAGAAGTCCCTTTGCAAAGGGTCGGTAATCTTCAGGGGTTTTCCCAAGGGGATTATGACCTCAGAGGAAGCACGAGGTGGGCCGTTTCGTCTACTATGATTATTCCCATTCCTATTTACTCAGCTGAAAGATTTCATTTGGGGACTTGGGGACCGACACTAAATGACCACATTCTACAGAGTGACAGTTTGGGGAACTGTTTTTTTCTTACAGACAACGGGACAGGACAGGCCCCTCAGTGCTGTGACCAGGGCACAGCGCGGGCTCCTGTGCAGGGTCCCCTCTGTCGTCCGAGCTGGTCACCTGGGGAGAGGCGCACACGTCCCCACGGGGCTGTGTGTGCCTCTCCAGGCTTTTCCAAGGGTGGGAATACGACTGGTAATCCACCCACACCTGTGGTATTTTTAGAGCACAGCCTGTGTGACCGACAGCAGTGACGGTGGCCTTTAAAAAGGGCAGCTCTTGTTTTAAGCTCAGTTAGCTCATTTTTCCCAATTGAAGACATTTGCGTGCAGTGCTTCTTGTGAGGCGGCCAGACTGAATGGTTTCAGGGCTGGGACTTGAAATGGTGATGACTGAGGTCAGCTAGGAGCCAGCCCGGGGAAAAGACTGGCTGTCCTTGGAGTTTCTGCTTGATCTCTAAAGATTTTCCAAAGGAACCTCATCTGAAGGCTTGTAAGAGAGCTCAACATGTAATCTCATGTGTGCAGTGTCTGCTCCCCCGGAAAGTCACGTTATTATAGGCTGTTTTCTCCAAAATGCTGTGCACACGTGAACTCACATGCAAATCACATGAGTGTGTGTACGACTGAAATAGACATCACATGTAACTCACTACGTGTCACCATAAAACAGTGTAAAGAGCGTCAGTTAATTTACATGACAGGATCGTCCAGTAGCTCCTCCAAACGTGTTGTTTTTACATTGAATTCTGCTCAGAATTAGTGGGCCTGCCACTTGGAAATCCGTGTGTTACCCCCCAAGGGTAGTTTTGTGATGGAAACTGACTTAGGTCCCAGAAATTAAGTTCTGGGACTAGACTGATCTCAGGACGATTCTGCTACCTCCTTTTCTTATCAGCCTTCAAACATTCTTCTTACGTTTGCTTTCCATCTCTGAGACTGCCTTTTAGCAGAGCTAAGCCTCTTCAACGTGGGGGTGAGAAGGAAGCCAGTCGGGGAGGTTAGTGGAAACAGAAAGAAGAGGAAATTGAATGATGAAAGTGTTAGGAGAGAAGTGTCTTTCACTGTATCTGAGGTCTTCCGTCCGCAAGTACCTACTCTACAGGAAAATAACCCGGGGGGTGTATTTCACTTTTTCTTGCTTATTTTCTCAGATTTTAATTGGGAGTTAATGGGGCTTCTAATTGGTATTAAAAATGAATTGAAGTCTGTGTGTTAACCCAGCAGTACCTCATAACACAGCAGAGCTACGGGACTGGAGGGGCAGGTGACAGATCTGTTTCTTCCCCTCCCTGCCCGGGAGGGACTGTGTGATGGCCGTGCATGGGTCCCTCCCCATGAGCTCAGCCCGTGTGATCAGATCTTGAGACATATGGAATAGTCTATGTGAGTGAGCATGTGTGATTTTTGAAAGCATGATGTTCAAATTAGTTGAATCTAACTTGCTATGCTTTTATAAATCCCAGGCATCAGGGAGTGACGAGGACGGCGTCCAGCTCTCTCCAGGAGGACATCGTCCGCTGGTTCAGGGAGGAGCAGGTCCCGCTGCGAGCGGGCTACCTGGGGGCTTCGGACAGCATCGCCCCCTGGTTCCACGGTGAGTGCGTGGCTCCCTTGGTGGGACCGCATCTGACTCTGACGGTGGGAGAACCGGGCATTCACCAGGAGGGCAGAGAGAATAAAGGCTCCCTTCTACTTGTGCTGCCCGAGAAAAGTCTTCGAAATCCTTTCCACAAAGCAGTTTTATCAGGGAGCTGCAGGCTCATGACATCTCAGTAAGCTGCTACGTGCATGAGAGATGAACACCGCTGGGCGTGGGGAAGGTGTGCCTCCTGTGCACCTACACGGGGCCCCCACCAGAGGGCAGCACCATCACCCACCCGGGGAGGGGCCGCGGTGGCCGTAGGGTGTGGCCAAAGGTCAGCTCTCCATGATCTGGCTGAGTGGCCTGGGCACCTGGTAACCTCTGTAACAAACACATCTCTCTGAGCCTCATTTTCCTCATCTGTTAAGTGAAGGAGTTGAACTCTGTGATCTTAAACTGAAGAATTCTGGGTTTTGATCCTTGTAGTCAGGCTGCAGGTGGTCTGTCGACGCCTGAGCAGAGGTTAGCTCATGAGCTGCTTCCTCATTTGACCCTAGAACTTGGCTCATTCAAGCCCCCTGTTTATTCAGCTCACACATCACTGACCTCTCCGACGTGTGTAGACAGAGAATTAATTACCTGTGCTCACCTCTTGGAGAGAAGGGCCAAGGAGGACCTAAGACTGAAGTGTGAAGGTCCGTCTAGAAACCCACAGACTCAGTTCTTCGTTCTGCCCATCAGCATTTTCCCCACTCCTCTTAAAGATGCAACAGTGTTCAGGGGCTTAGAAACCAGCAGGGGCCGGGCGTGGGGAGGTGGGGAAAAGGCAGAAGGAAGTGTATAAACACAGATGTCTGATTTAGGAGTTTCCGAATGGCTTCTCTCTTTGTTAGAGAATTCACATCCTTGCTTTATGCCTCAGTAGTTGAGCATTATTCCTCTGAAATGCAATTTTCGCTTCCTTATTCAAATGCGAATGTGATTAGACGGTTGATGAAATATCTCCATCCTGATTTATTTCTTGTAGGTGTCTTTGCTGTCAGGATGTATAATTGAAATTGCCTTCCAAAGGCTTTAATTTTTTAAAAATGTTGCATCTTATGCTACTTCAAAGCATACCCCTCTAACATCTGTGGGGTATCAGTGTAGTTCATACCGCAGCTATTTTGATGGCTTCCTTTTTTGATACACCCTCCAAATTTTTATTCTCCATCAGGGGTTAATCCTGTTCATTTCTGGGAGGCAGTTACCCTCTGGGACTTATGTCCCCTGGAGATGACTGTGCAGGTGGAATCCTGTGTCCCTGTCCCCCAGCAGTGGGCCATCCAGGCTCCTACCTGGAGAGATTGCATTGAGAAGGTCTCATAGAAGCCACCCACAATTTTTTAGGCCAAAACCTTAATGAATCTGGAAACTGGCCCCCATAAGCAATAATCTGTCCTTCAACTATTTTGCTGACGAGTGGAGACTTCTTAATGGCGGGGCCGTCAGAATCCCACCCATCCCTCAGGAAGAGACTTCCAAGCCTCTGTCTTGACCAAGCACAGATTCCTGATCCATGTGACTTCTCAGGGTCACACAGAGGGATAGCGCACACCTGTGAGTGGGAGAAGCTGTGGCTGGCAGTGGGAGGTTGTCAGTGCCCATGTGGGGCAGGCGAGGGTCTGGGAAACCCTGACCTTGGGAGGGACCAGCAGGGCCTGATCCGGAAGCCCTGGGAGCTCAGGCAGTGACCCGCCGTTCAGCCCCGAGGCTTCGTGTACATTACAGCATCAGAGCACTTTGTCCAAATTACTCTCTGTGGTTCTCCCACGTGGCTGCCTGATATTAGTTCAGATTTCTGAACTAACTGAAGATGAAACACAAAGAGGCGAAAGCTACATCTATTCAGATTTGAGAAGGGCTAGCTTTTCTGTGGCAAATACTATGCATTGGGTTTTTTGGGGGGAGATGCTGACTTTTCTCATCCATTACCCAGTGCAGCTTAACTTGCTGCAAAAATCTCAGTATGTTATTCCATTAATATTGAGAATAGTCCATGAACCCCAAAGGCCTCTCTTACTTGAGTTTCTAAAATTTTTTATTTATTTAATTTGGGGGTTTTTTTGGAGAGGGGTAATTAATTTTTTTTAATATAGTTATTTTTCATGGAGGGCTTGGGGATTGAACCCAGGACCTCGTGCATGCTAAGCACATGCTGTACCACTGAGCTGTATCCTCCCCCACTTACATGAGTTTTTGTTTGTTTGTTTTTAATTAAAATTTGTTTACTGAATCATAACTGTAAGTCCTCTAAACATTTTCAAGATTCCTTAATATTTGAGATTCCTCATAATGCCCACGTAATAAAGCATGAAGGAGTTAAGCACAAACCAAATCACAGTGAAAACAGAAAATGAACAGTGTTTAACCTTAGCTACTGAAAGAGATGCAGAAATGGATAATATCACACAAGAAGTAAACATCGTATAAAGATGGGAGGAAATCTTTTGAAAATGCAAGGAAAGATTTCTGATGTTTTCAAATGATGCAGCCGAGTCGTCACCCTGACGCTGCCAGACACAGGGGTCACGGCCGGCCTGTGCCCAGGGTCCAGTCTCATGGTGGCCCACCATGTTCTTGGAGGGACCTAGAGGGACCTCAGGGGGCAAGAGAGGGGAAGTGGGGGGGTCCGAGGGGCCAAGGAGAGCGACTCTGCTTCAGGGCTTTACTTGGGATGTTTTTATGGAAGGGAGGTTCCTACTCTTTAGACAAGTATTTTGAAATCCACGTTTCTGCCCTGAGATTTCTCTTTGTCGTCACATGCCTTGTGTCCTGGATTCCCGCTGTCACCACCAGAGCAGGCTGGATGCGGCTGCTTTATGCCGGGATGGGGCGGTGGAAGGCAGTGGCTGGACGTGCATCTCTGGGCCGCCCTGCCTGCACCCTGATCCCAGCCCCCACCGGCCCGCTGTGCGGCCTCCGGGAAGTCGCAGGACCTCCTGCACTTGGTACTTGTCTCTTGCCTGTGTGACGTGGATAATGACATCGCCTGCCTCGCAGGGCTGGTTGGAAGACTCAGTGAAGCGCTTAGAACTGTGCGGGTCACGGTCAGCCCTAGTTCATCGAGGTTAGCCATTAAGGTGATGGAGGGAGAACCATGATGTAACTCTGAATTATTAAGGAAACATGATAATACTGTAAGAGCTCAGGCAGTTTCTCCTTGTCCCTAAGGTGCCTGAGACATCAAGGGTGAGGTGTCGGCATCCCGGGGCAGCTCCTTCTGTGCCGAGGACCAGGGCAGGGCCAGAGGCGCTCTGAACGCGCTTCCTTTAAACACTGAAGGGCTAGAAAGCAGCGTCAGGGAAGAGGGGCTTCCCCCCAAGTTTAAGCCCCCTCCCCCCACCGGGGATGATAACATTTGGAATCTGCAGGGTTGCTGCCTGGAAACACTGTCTTCTGAAAGCTGCCTTGGCTTCTGACAGCAGGGCGGGGCTTTGAGGTCACCTTGACAGCGGAGACGCGTTCCATCAGGAATGCCATCGCAGCGACGTCCCCTCCCTGCACCGTCCCCTCCCTGCACTGTGTTCTGGGGCAGAGCATGGAGGACAGATGGCAGGAGAGGAAGGAGGGCTGCCTGGAGGAGCTGTCGGGGCCACACCTGGGGCTCTCCCCTCAGCAGACCTGCCACATGGTCAGGGAGCCCCTGAGGCTGGGGTGCCTCTGTCCTTGAGCTTAGGGACTGCCGCTGGGGTCACTGAAGCATCCTTTCCGCCACACCCAGGGGCCACATTTAAACAGTCACTGGAAGATGCATCTTCGCTACGTCACCTGGAGGGAAGTGAGCACTTCTTTGTGAAATAAATGCCCTTTTTTTATTTTCAGCCAATTCCAGAGAAATTTCATGAGCCCAGTGGGTCATAAAAGCCAAGCACCAGAGTGGGAGACGAGAGACTTGAACGCGCCCCTAACTCGTCCTGTAATCTGGGCGGGTGCTTTTCCCACCTCAGTTTTCCCATCTGTAAAATGGCCATGGTCACAGTATCAGTTCTGCTTATTTTAGAGGCATGTGAGGATTAAAGGAACAGTGAGTGGCAGCCCGTGGTGCAGCGAGGGGCCCTCGGGGGCAGGTACTTTGCTGGGTGGGCACCCGCCTGGCCTCTGGGGTTGGGCTCCCGGCCCACCCGAGGGACATTACGCACATTAGGAACTCTGTCGTCGGAGGGCAGTGACAACACCTCTTCCTCAGGCCACCATGAGGATGGAACAGGGTCCTGCCCACCATGAGGAGCTCCCGGATGACAAAAGAACCCTGAGTGCTCTTGCTGTCAGGTTCTCTTTCATTTGGTTGGTAAAGCAGCTTTTCCAGTTGCTGGAAGCAGGCCACACAGATGCACACCTAGGCTTTGGGGGGCCTCAGAGAAACACGAAGCGTGGCCCTGGTCCCTGGGATAACGGCTCTCAGACCAGAGGCAGTGGTTGCATAGAGGTGTCTCTGAGAAGGGAGTCCCTAGCTTGGCTGGCAGACAAAGCTATCCGTTGTCCTTTTCTGGGCTTCTAAGTGGCAGGGGCTGGGGGTGTGAGGGTAACTCAGGCGGCCCTCCTGGCGCTCACGAGGAGGTGAGGTAGGGAAAGACAGCGAATCAGAAAGCTTCACGCCACTGGGCTGAGCCTTGGAGAACGAGGAAGAAGCGGTGGAGACGGGCATCCCACTCCCACCTTCCTCCCGCGGGCTAGTGGCTGTCACCTGGGGTTTCAGAGTAATTCCAGGCCTCCGGGGTCTGTCTGCCCTCTCCCGTGCAAAAGCAGTTCTCCCGGGCCTGCCCTCCAGCAGGGTTTAGGGCTGCGGGTCCAGGATGGTAGCCACTAGCCACATGTGGCTCTTTATATCAGCTTCAATTAAAATTAAATAAGTTGAGTCCCGCAGTCACACATCAGGCGCTCCGTGGCCACACGTGGCTTGTAGCTGCCACGTGGCCAGCACAGACAACATTTCCATCATCACAGACAATCTGGCTTAATACTGTTCTTGGGGGCACTCGGGTGTCATGCAGACGGAGAAATGGGCATCTCTCTGCTCCCCTCCAAGCTGGTGTTCAGGCTCTTAGGAGTGAGCATCCCCCTCATGCAGTGCCCCCTGGAGTCAGCCCCGCAGCCGGCAGTGCCCCCTGCTTCCCCCTGGATGGCTGTGGGCCTGCCGCACCCTGCCTAGGTCAGCTCTAAAACAGACCCCGGGTGAAGACCTGGCTCATTTCCGATCCGATAGCCGTATTGATGATGCACTTCAAAAACTGAGGAAGTGGAGGAAAACTCTGCCAGCCCAGAAGTCCTCCCGCGACCTCACACAGGTTTGATTCTGGTCATAAGTGTGAAGAGAGCTGGTCAGAGGGAGGTGGCCTGGATGGGGGCCTTCTGGGGGTGCTGGATGAAGACCACTCACTGCTTCAGAATTCTTAGGGTCGTGCACGGGGCGACTTGGGATGAGGAATTCTGTAAGGAGACGGGTCCCCGGAGCAGCATCTGACACTGGATTTTGACTCTGTGGTCAGGAACTCCCTTAGCAGGCAGACCAAGCCCTCCGCTTGGCCAGGCCTCCCTGAATGCACCGTGGCCCTCGATGGAATCACGGCAAATTGTAGAGTGACCAGTACCATCAGATGCACCAAGAGAGTGTGCCCTTCGGGGGTGCTGACCCCGTCATGACGCCAAAAGGAGAAAGCCTCATCTCCACGGCCCTTCCCTCCAGAACCTGCCGCCAGGACCGCTGAGCTGAGGGAGCCCCGTGCGAGCTGGGACTCGCCAGCAAATCATCGCGCTGTGTTCTGGCGTCTCTGCAGATCAGACGGTGCCAGGATTTGTGTGTGACGAGCTAGAAGTACTCATTAAGAGGCTCTCGGACAGTCTGATTTACAGCTGCTCTCGGACCTGATTTGGGAGGAACTTGACCTTAACCCGCATTTGGTTACAATTTCCCAGACTAGCTCTCACTGTAGGAATCAAATCCCTCCTGAGAAAATCCAGATGTCAGGAGCCCTAGCATCTATCCCAGCTGTTGACGTCACTTGGAATTTCAGCGTCAACTTGTCAGTAAGTCCAGGAGGGGAGAGAAATCTTTCCAGAATGGGCCCCTTGGAGTCCTCAGTGCCAGGGGAAAGTCCGCCTGGTTTCAGAGACAGACCTCGGTCCCCTGCAGCCCCTGGGCAGGCGGGTTCCCGTTGTCCCGTTTCAGCCCGCGGTCGTCCTCAGCGGGGCCAGGTGTGTGTAGAAGGTAAACCAGGCAGGCAGAGGCAGCAGTTGGACCTGTGGGCGCTCACGTGAGCATCATTTCCTTTCTGTGAGGTCAGAGGGGGGACTTCAGGCCTTGCCACCATCCCCACTCCCATCCCAGCGTCACTCTAGGGTTGAGCCTCACCCTGAGATGTGGAGGCGGCCCTGGTGGGAGAGGACGAGGCCGGCTGGTTGGTCTCAGCGCGGGGAGGACAGGGGACTTTTCATCCCCCCTTGATCGAAGGCCTCCTTACAAAAAAAAGAGGATAGAAATGCTTTTATTTTACCTTTTACTCTGGGTAATTGGGTTTAATTCTCAATTATCTTTGCTGACTTTGGTCTTCTGGGACTAAAGGCGCCATCTGAGGGGTTCCAAGAGGAAAAATGGGGAGCTGGAATATGAGTTTAGACTAATTGGGAAAAGGCTGCTCTGAATTAATGTGAATTCATGCGGCATCTAAACTATACACATACACACATGCATGTGTAAAACGCGTATGTATGTGAAGAGTTCATTCTTTTGAATATTTGAGAAGACAGAAATACTGAAGCATATACATTCACACATGCACACGGAGACCTGGGTGTCTACGTTCGTTCCTTTAAATGCCAATGAAGCATCACTTAGGAGCAGCCACAGCAGAGGGCACTGGGTCGAGCTGGGCCGTCCTGGTTCTGTCGCTGACCGGCTGAGTCCTGACTGGGGTGTCCACCTTCAGTTCTGTCAGCCTGTGGGGTTGGGTCCTTGCAGTGGGAGGCTGTTGTGTGCACCATGGGATGTGCGCTGCATCCCGGCCACCGCGCGCTGGCTGTAAGAAGCACTCCAACCCGGGACAACCAGAAATGCCTCTCAGATGTTACCCTGGGTGGGAACTACTGTTCCAGTTCAAGTAGGACCATTCCCAGCCCAGAGCGTCCCCATCAGTAAACCAAGCATCGTCAAGGCCCCTCCTGGAAGGACCCTCAAGGGTCCTTCCAGGCTCAGAAGCCGCCCACCGCCGGTGCTGTTGTAAGCAGGTGTGTACGTGGACGTGTGCCCTGAGGTCGCATGCACGCTGTCCCTTTGCCCAGGCAGCCTCGCCCGGCCCAGTCACCAATACCAGGGGGACGGATGAAGCCCCAGGTGGACCCGGACTTGCCCGTGTTTCTACTGACTGTCCCCGCGGCTCTGTTTAACAGAGGAGGGTTTGGGAGATGATGCGGCTGAGACACCGGCTCCTCTTTCCCACAGGAATCCTCACGGTGAAGAGGGCCAACGAGCTGCTCAGCGCCTGCGTGCCGGGCAGCTTCCTGGTGCGGGTCAGCGACAGGACCCGAGGCTACGCCCTGTCCTACCTGTCGGACAGCGGCTGCAAACACTTCCTGATCGACGCCTCCGCGGGCTCCTACAGCTTCCTGGGCGTGGACCAGCTGCGGCACGCCAGCCTGGCCGACCTGGTGGAGTACCACAAGGTGAAGCCGCGCCGCGGCGGCGCCGGGGCTGTGCGCGCCCCTCCCGGGAGTCGGGATGCCTAACTGCGCTGGCGCTGCCGCTGAGCCTCGTTCCTCCCCCGGGACTCAGGGAGAGGCCACTGGGGCGGAGCGTCTAGGAGATGCTGCCGAATCCGTGCGCACCCTGATCATGAACGCTCTGAAGCTGGAGCTCAGGCCCGGGAGGGAGGGAGGGAGTCGATGTGGCAATTGGCCGATGAGAAGCATCTCTGTTGAGGTTGAAGCCAAGAAAGCGTCGTGTACCTCGGGGGCGTCGCTGGGGCAGGAAGTCACGCGGGCTGGTGAGGTGGGCGGGGCGCGATCGGCGCTGACACCGTCTCACCCCCTGCCTGTACCTTCTGTTCACAGGACGAGCCCATCACTTCCCTGGGGAAGGAGCTCCTCCTGCACCCCTGTGGTCAGCAGGAGGAGCCACCCGACTACCTGGCGCTCTTTGAGTGACAGCCCCCGTCCTGTCCCCCTGCGGCCGCCGGCCGGGCTGTCGCCTGGACAGACACCAGCGGCACGGACACTGATGTGTGAAGCCACAGCACCCTGCAGCGAGCCAAGCCCGATCACCCCGAGGGATCTCGGGGCCCCACGGAGACCTCTCTTCTAAGCAGTTGCTGGCGTTGACCCCTACGAGGGAACGCCCCCTGCATCCTCTGCCCTCCAGACGTCGAGGGAGAAGGGTCCCCCTCTCTGGAGCCTTTTCTGATGTCTGAAATGAACACAGGAGAGATGGGAACCTTTTAGGAATGGAAGTGTACCTCACAGCGGAACTCTTTCCTGCCCTCTCTGCCCATCTCAGAAGGCCTCAGGGCCCGATGGTGCGAAGTGGGGCGCTGGCTTTGGGGAGAGGGCAGAAAAGCCTTTCCTCCTGGCTGAGCCGACCCCCCACCCCCACCCCACACACCTTTCTGTGCACGTGGGAGCCAGGACGTCAGAGACGCAGGAAAACGCAAGGTGGGAATGTTGCAAATGGAATGAGGAGTTTGAAGTCAGAGGGTGAGAGGCTGATTGCGTCCAGAGACACTCGGGGGATGGCAGGAGTGTGAGGGAGCCGTCTGGGTGAGCCTCCTCGCCCTGGAGGGGCGGGTCAGGGCTCCCTGGAGGCCGCGGCTGTAGCCAGGACCACATCGAGAAGGGTGAACCGTGATGTGCGGGGTGTGAGCGGGCAGACGAGGGCAGAAGGGTGAACGGCTTGGACACGTGGGTTGAATGGTGTCCCCCTAAAGATATGGTGAAGCCCTAACCCCCTGTACCTGTGAATGTGACCTTAATCAGGGCCTTTGTGGATGTGATCAAGTCGAGATGAGGTCATACTGGATTGGGGGGTGCCCCAAGCCAATGATGGGCGCTCTCATAAGGAGAGAGGGGTTGGGAAACCGAGGCACACCCAGAGGGAAGGTGGTCGTGGGACAGCAGAGGCAGAGCCAGGTGCTGAGCTGCAGGCCAGGGGACCAGAGAGCTGGGCCAGCGGCGTGGAGCGACGCCCCCCAGGACCCCCTTCTGGCCTCCAGCACGATGAGCAAATAAATGTCTTTTGTCATAAGCCACCGGGTTCATGGTACTTTGTCCCAGCATCCCTGGGAGACCAGCATAGGAGCGATGCCATTCTGTGCCCTGACATGCAGGGTGGACCCTCTGTTGCTCACAATGAAGGGAAAACAGGAGATCCCCCCGACCCTCAACCCCACCCTGGCTCTCTCTGGCTCTGGGCACAGACTTAACCCGGTCAGGAACCTCACGCCCCACAGATCCCACCCCCAGCCTCCAGCACCGCCCGGTCCAGCCCCAGGAAGGGGGACCACGGCCTCGGCCAGCAGCTCGCTGAGCCACCGAGATCATCCTGAGAGGATGATCCTTCAGGCTAACTCCTGTGTCGGCGTCCCTTTCAGAGGAAGCGGAAGGTAGTGGCTGTCGCTGGGGTTGTTGATTTTGTCAGACACTCACTGATGCTGTAAAATGTAACCAGGGACGAGGCGGGGAGTGTGAATACCTATGAGTGTGTGTGGGTGTATGTGTGTTTTTAGGAGAAAGTTTTATTTTTTATTTCTAAATTTTTTTTAGTTTGCTATTCTTACTTGTTTTATTTTTTTATTATTTTTACTTTTTTATTGAAGTATAGTCAGTTTACAATGTTGTGTCAATTTCTGGTGTACAGCACAACGCTTAAGTCATACATGAATATACATATATTCATTTTCATATTCTTTTTCACCATAAGCTACTACGAGATATTGAGTGTAGTTCCCTGTGCTATACAGGATAAACTTGTTTATCTATTTGTATGTATCAGTCAGGATCCGCAAATCTCGAACACCCCATTTATCCCTTCCCACATCTTTCCCCCCTGGTAACCGTAAGTTCATTTTCTATGTCTGTGTGTCTGTTTCTGTTTTATAAAAAGTTCATTTGTATTTTTTTTTCAGATTCCACATATGAGTGACATCATATGGTATTTTTCTTTCTCTTTCTGGCTTCCTTCACTTAGAATGACATTCTCCAGGGCCATCCATATTGCTGCAAATGGCATTTATCTTATTATTTTTATGGCTGAGTAGTATTCCATTGTATAAACATACCACAACTTCTTTATCCAGTCATCTGTCAGTGGACATTTAGGTTGCTTCCATGTTTTGGTTATTGTAAATGGTGCTGCTATGAACATTGGGGTGCCAGTGTCTTTTTGAATTAAGGTTCCCTCTGGCTATGTGCCCAGGAGCGGGTTGCTGGGTCATACAGTTAAGTCTATTCCTAGTCTTTTGAGGAATCTCCATACTGTTTTCCACAGTGGCTGTACCAAACTGCATTCCCACCAGCAGTGTAGGGGGGTTCCCCTTTCTCCACACCCTTTTAAGGAGAAAGTTTTAAATAGATCATCATTAGTGTTCCTGAAACGTTCCATGTGGTTTCTGTCATCTGAGCGACAGCTGTCAGTTGTCTAAGAGAACCTGCAGCTCTGACTCGTTGGGCAGTCCTGATGTGACAGAGTTACAGAGGTGCACAGGCCGGGAGTCAGAAACTTCTGTTCCCATCTCTTCCCACCATTAGCTGTGTGACCTTGGCCAGGCCCCCTTTACCTCTCTGAACCTCAGCTTTCACTTCTAATAAAACAAGGCTGTGTTAACCAGGTAATCTTTATTCTTTCCATATAGCTCTGAAATCTTAGGGATCTAGAATAAACAGAAAAGTTGCTCAAGAGTTGCTCAGGTCCCAGCAGCATCCTCTGCCTAAAGTCGCTTTACGGGAAATAAGCACAGATGTAACCACAGTAGGTGCCACCTTACTGGAGGAAGGCTTAGACAACAGGAGATGGCCTGGCCGAATTAACCTGATATTACAGGGGGGAGCAATCGTTCTGCACGATTTTATCCCATTGCTTACTGACTCTCAAATGAAGAAACGGTCCAGCGTTTGGTGACGTGACGGCGAAGAGTGACACCAGAAATTCCGAGGGACAATGGTTTACATCATTTAGAAACGATTCACCACTGAATGCAGCTGAAGGGGCTCTGTAATTAGGCGCATTCTCCCTGTATCTGAGCCTGGTTGTGGTTGAAGGCAAGGGTGTCCAAACCCTGGCCCCGGTACCCTCTTCTGTTGCCTCGATGAAGCCAAGAGCCTGCCCTGCCTGCCAAGGTTCCTGTCCTGGACGTTCCCCTGTCTCAGGCGCTGCAGCCTGCCCCTCCCTGTGGGCCTGTGCGTGAGCCCCGCTCCCTCACCTCACCCCTTCCCCACGTCCTCACCCACACTTCCTATTTCTAGTCTTTCTGCTAACAGCCATTCTAACAGGTGTGAGGTGGTATCTCCCTGTGACTCCATTTGCATTTCCCCGATGATTAATGATGTGAGCATTGTTTCATGTATCTGTTGGCTATCCGCATGTCTTCTTTGGAAAAATGTCTATTCAGATCTTCTGCCCGTTTTTCATCAGCCTTTTCTCTTCCTGCTATTGAGTTGTTGAGTTCTTTGTCTATTTTGGATATCAGCCCCTTATTGGAAAACAGGATTTACAGTTATTTTCTCCCATTCAGTAAGTTGTCTTCTCATTTTGTTCATAGTTCCCTTTGCTGTGCAAAAGCCTTTTGTTTTGATTTAGTTCCACTTGTTGCTTTTTGCTTTCGGGGTCAGATTAAAAACAACCACTACCAGGACCTATGTCAAGGCGCTTATGACCACCTGTGTTTTCCTCTAGGAGTTTTATAGTTTCAGGTCTTACATTCAAGTCTTTAATCCATTTTGAGTTAATTTCTGTGTATGGTGTTACATAGCAGTCCAATTTAATTCTTTTGCATGAGGCTGCCCAATTTTCCCAAGGTCATCTATTGAAGACACTGTCTTTTCTCCATTGTACATGGTTGGTTCCATTGTTGTAAATCAGTTGACCATATATGCGTGGGTTTATCTCTGGGCTCTCTATAATAGAGAGATGACAATATATATGTGTCTGTTTCATGTCAATGCCATACTGTTTCAGCTTTGTAATATAATTTGAAATCAGGGAATGTGATGCCTTCGGCTCCATTCTTCTTTTTCAAGACTTCTTTGCCTATCTGGGGTCTTTCATGGTTCTGTACAAAGTTTTGGATTGTTTATTCTATATCTGTGAAAAATAGCACTGGAATTTTGATAGAAGTTGTATTCAATCTGTAGTTTGCTTTGGGGAGTGTGGACATTTTAACAATATTAGTTCTTCCAATCCATGAACACAGTATATCTTTCCATTTATTTGTGTCTTCTTCAGTTTCTTTCATTAATGTCTTATAGTTTTTAATGCACAGGTGTGTTCCCTCTTGGCTAAATTTATTCCTAGGTATTTTATTCTTTCTGATGCAGTTGTAAATGGGATTGTTTTCTTAATTTTTCTGACAGTTTGTTTTTAGTGTATAAAATGCAACAGATTTCTGTATATTGATTTTGTATCCTGCAACTTTACTGAATCCATTTATTATTTAACAGTTTTTTGGTGGAATATCCAGGGTTTTATAGATACCATATCATGTCATCTGCAAATAATGACAGTTTTACTTCTTTCTTTCCAATTTGGGTGCTTTTTATTTCTTTTTCTTGCCTAATTGCTTTGGCTACAACTTCCAATACTATGCTGTAGACATCCTTGTCTTGTTTCTGGTCTTAGAAACAAAAACTTTCAGCTTTTCATTATTGAATATGAAGTTAGCTGTGGGTTTGTCATATAAGGCCTTTATTATGAGGTACATTTCCTCTGTATCCACTTTATTGAGAGTTTTTACCTTAAAGGGGTGTTGAATTTTGTCAACTGCTTTTTCTGCATCTGTCGAGATTATATGACTTTTCTTCATCTTGTTAATGTAGTGTATCACACTGACACTGATTAGCAGACACGAAACTATCCTTGCACCCCTGGAATAAATCTCATCTGATCCCAGGATACGATCCTTTTAATGTATTGTTGAATTTGATTTATTAATATTTTGTTGAGGATTTCTGCATGTACTTTCACCAGGGATATTGGCCTGTAGTTTTCTTCTTTTGTGGCATCCTTGTCTGGTTTTGGTATCATAAGATGTGCCTGGAAGAGTTCCGAACTCACGCTTCTATTTTTCGGAAGAGTTTGAGGATTAATTTTTCTTAGAATGTTTGGTAGAATTCACCAATGAATCCTTCTGGTCCTAGACTTTTGTTTGTTGGGGGCGTTTTGATTACTGGTTCCATCTCTTTGTTAATCATTCTGTTCAGATTTTCTATTTCATCATGATTCAGTTTTGGTAAGTTGTATGTTTCTAGGAATTTATCCTTTTCTTTTGTTGGCATATAATTGTTCATGCTATTCCCTTATGATCCTTTGTATTTCCCATGTAATGTATTTCCCATTCCCAGTTGTAATGTCTCCTCTTTCATTTCTGGTTTTATTTACCTGAGTCCTCTTTTCTTCCTGGTGAGTCTAGCTACTGATTTGTCTATTTTGTTTTTCTTTTCCATAAACCAGCTCTTAGGGTGGTCGATTTTTTTCTATTGTCTTTTTAGTCTCAATTTCACGTATTTCCAATCTGATCTCTGTTATTGCCTTCCTTCTAATAACCTTTGGCTTCATTCTTCTTTTTCCAGTTCCTTGAGGTATAAAGTTAGGCAGTTTGAGACTTTTCTTGTTTCTGGAGATGGCCATTTATCACTATGAACTTCCCCCTTTGAACTGCCTTTGCTGAGTCCCATAAATTTTAGTCTATTACATCTCCATTCTTGTCTCAAGGTATTTTTTTGATTTCTCTTTTGATTTCTTTTTTGGCCCATTACTTATTCCAGTAGTGTGTCACTGAATCTCCACATATTTGTGATTTTCCAATTTTCTTGATGTTATTAATTTCTCGTTCCAGTCTGTTGTGGTTGGAAAAGACCCTTGATACGATTTCAGTCCTCTTACATTTATTCAGACATGTTTTGTGGGGCTTGTCCTAAATTTGTATTTATTGTCCTTACCTTTTTCAAACGAGGTTTGACACCCCAGCTGGACAGAGGATGTTAATTGCCGTAGATCTGTAAACACTGGACTTGGAGGTGGTTCTGGTAGAGGGCTAGTCGTGGGGTCGGAAGCTGTGGGACCGACGGCTGGGGTAGGGAGTTGCTGGCAGTCCTGTGCACAGGAAAAGTAAGTCCTCTTCAGCCGACATCACCCCCAGGGTGCCGCCTGTGTGTTGTCGGCAGGGTCTCTGCACAGCCAGGCAGAGGGCATTTGGTGAGTCTTGGGCAGAGGTTTCGAAGGGCGCCTGGCCCTCTCCTCTCTGGACATCTGGGTGACCGCGGAGGCAGCACAGCACCTCCCCCCGCCGCCGCCCCAGAACTGCCGACAAGGCAGATACAGCTGAGGGGCACTGGGCTGACTACTCCAGAGGCGCAGTGAGGCAGGGCTGTTGGAAAGGCACCTCTGCTGAGACAACGTCTGTGTGTTGAAGAAACCACCACCCACCCCGCAGCCAACAGGCACAGGCCCTGTGGGTTTTGGCAGCAACAGCAAAGCACCGAGTCCCACCAGGAGTCATAGATTTCAGTTCATACAAAGCCAATAAGAATATGGACCACACGAAGTGGCCAGCTGTCTGATGGGTGTCGGGACTGAAACGCACCCCTCCTTCCAAGGGCGTTTTCTTTGATCGGCAGTCCTCAGGAACAGTGTCAAATGTTTCCTGCAAAGCAAGGATTCCTCCAACCCTTCCCTCCTAACTCAAGGTGGACTTTAGGTCTAGCACCTCCAGATCCTGTTGGAGACCCGGCTTCCAAGGCCTTGGCACCCCCACCCGCCAGTGATGACCCAGAGCTGTCTCTGGGTCACTGTGCTGACAAGTCTCCCTCCACTGTCTGGGACTCCTCAAGAGGGCAGACAGATGGCGGGGGTGGAGGGGGACCGAGGCATAAGAGGACAGGTGCTGGACTCGCCCCAGGCCACAGCTCCCGACCGCCCACCCGGCAAGCCCCCTGGAGCTGGTCCTGGGATGGGACCATGAGACCGCTTTCTGGTCGGACCTCTGGGGTGAGTTCCGAGTGCTTCTGAGCCTTGGTTTTCTGCACCTGGAAGATGGAAGTCATGCAGTGTGCTGCCTGAGGGGGTGGGTGTTCTGTATATAATGTGCCTGGCAAGGCTCCTTCCTTCAAAACCGCTGACGCCCCTCAACTGCCTGGGGGTCGCCAACTCCAAATTACTGAACACAACATTTCAGGGAGAGATTCATCATTGCATTTTACACTGCTAGTAACCATCTTTGGACAGATTGAAACTGTTTGCAGAATGACAGACATGAAGGACAGACAACACCATGCATGGTGGGTTTATGATTTCTACCGTGTGACCCACCATGGCCCTGATTACACCCGAGAGGCACTGGGTGCGCTGGGACGCACAGCTGTGAACGTGGGACGGGTATCAACTAACGGCAGCTGGACGTGATGCCTGCTACGTGCCTAATGTGTCCTAACTCCGTGGTCAGTCGCCTGATGTAACTGTGATTGCATGCGTGACCCTGAACGAGGAAACGGGCGGAGACGCTGCGTGTCGGGTTTAAGATTTAGAGGCGGTGAGTAAAAGAACTGGGATCTGAACCCAGGCGCCTCCTGGGGAAGCGAATACTAATTTCCACGCTGAACTGCAGCTGCAAATGTGACACAGTCCACAGAAGGGACCTGGAGGAAAGTAGCCCCCCAGATACCAACCGACGGCCAGCCTCCTCACACCACCCACCCGCTGTTCCCAGGGGGGTGCCAGCAACTGACGAGACCCCAGGTTCTACCAGAAGCCCAGCTCCAGTGGGCGATTTACATACAGTAAGAGCAGGGCAGGATGCAGGGTTGGAAAGGACCTCAGACAAGCCCAAGACTCATGCCCCCCGGCAGCATCCTTCCTCCTTTAAAAGATGTCGTGTGACTGGGTCCTTCAAGCCGCAGGCTCGTGGCTGTGGTCCTTTGCTGTCCAAGGTTAAATGCCGAGCCCCGATTACAGGGCTCCAGTGGGCGTCACCAGCCTTTGTTTTATAAATGTCCTGGGCAGGGAACGGGGACAGGTCCCGCTGTGTACTGAGAGTTCGTGCCCCAGAAGATTCTCAGGTGGAAGACTTAATGAGGTGGAGTTTGGACGTGGGGCCTCTGGGAGGTTAGATCATGAGGGTGGAGAACCAGGATGGGTAAGTGTCCTGTTCTCAGCCACGCAAGGACACGGCGAGGAGGGGTCCTTGCCGGACACCTGATCTATCGGTGCCTTGACCTTGGACTTGGCCTCCAGGACCTAGAGAAATCAGCGTCTGTTGAGGAAGCCACCCCGTCCGCGGTATTTGCTGCAGCCCAAGCTAAGACAGACCCCCTCTTGCGTGAGCTTTATGAGGGTTCCTGCCTCTTGAAAACACTGGTTACCTGACTAAGCTTTAAAAAGATGGCTACAGTTTGATATTACTCTGCTTTCTCTCTTTGGCTATTTTTTAAATATTTATTTTGTTTGTTTGTTTGATGGAGGAGGTAATCAGGTTTATTTATTTAGTTACTTTGACAGAGGCACTGCAGATTGAACCAAGGACCTCGTGCATATTAAGCATGTGCTCTAACCCTTTCTCCCCCAGCAACTTTTCAAACTCTGTTCTTAACCACCGCCTCAGGCTTCTGTGCTGTGCAGTTTAAACCCACACAAGTGGCCCGTGAGCCCCAGAGAGCACAGCCTGGGCCCACCACCTGGGGGACACTGAGACCCAACTCCACGGTCAGACATCCTGCCACTGGCCTTGATGGACTGCATCCTCCTGACTGCGACAAACATGGGCAGGAGTGGGAAGGTCAGACCCACTGGGGCAACTGGCCAGACGCCTGCCTGGGCTCTCCACCACCACCACGTGTGTGGACACAGGAAGCAGAGCCGAGAGGGGTTCTGGAAACATCCCTCAGCTTCAGATCAGAAAGGAAGATGGCATTAAACATCAGGCCCACAGGCACCTCTGGTGATGGCAGGAGGCAGTTACAGTGGCCACATGGGTGAGGGCTGCTCCTGGCACCGAGTGAGTGGAGACCAGGGGTGCTGCTCAGTAGCCCCTGGTGCACGGAACAGCCCCCAACACAGAATGATCCAACCCAAAACCTCGCAGCGCCAAGGCCAAGGAACCCTGGTCTCTGCGCAGAAAGCTGTTATTCAAAAAACTAAAGACGTGGTGCTCTCACTCCAAGAAGAGATCGTACCCACAGATCGTATTTTATTAGCTGCCACCTTCCATCCATGTCCTGGGTTTTCATTAAATTTTATGAGCTACCAGTACAAATCAATACGATGCACTTTTTTTTTAACACACCAGCAGCCTGAGTGTCCTGGAAGTTTTATACAGTGAGTTGACTGTGGGCAAACAGAAGGCAAGGGACCAGAGACACGACCAGCTCATGCATCTGCCGCTGGCTAATAAAGAAATAATGCTCGCATGAATACCGAAGCCACTCAATGTTAACTGCGTTTATTTTTTTAAATCGTTGGAAACTGTAATAAAATGCAAGGAAAAGAAACATCTTGGTGACTGAATAGACCAGCTTCATTTAAAAAATCATTGAGTTACTCCGCCCCGCACTGGGGGTGGGTGAACACACGGCAGGACCTTCCCTCCCACTGGACGCTGGCAAGTGGAGTGATCTTTTACAAAACGTTTTTCTGCATTTTTTTCTCGTGGAAGCCGGAGGCCAGGAAGAGCACCCTGCTTTGAAAAGAGATCGTTTGGTTCACAGTCAACTTTGGTTTATTTCAACAGGTAAGAAAGTGGTCCCCAGTTCTCCTGAGGAGAAAGTGTGTTTTCTGAGTTTTGAACAAATCGGTTTCCTTTCCTGTTCAGGTAAAAGGTATATTTCTTTCCCTCCGGGGTTCAGTTGCTCCTCCTCAGAAATACTCTTTAGATAAAGTGTCTCTGGGTCTCGTCCCTTGGTGGCCCCAAGCCTTCCATGTGACACGTGACAGGCGGTCTGTCCGCAGGGTCAGCAGGTGGCATGTCCTTGGACGTGGGCATCAGTCTGATGCTCTGAACTGCAAGTTCTCATAATGCAGCTGAAAGTAACCTCTTAAAAAAAATATAAAAAGGGAGCTAACTTGGGCTCTCTTAGTAAGGCTTGCAAGCTGGTAATTAAATAAGCAGAATATGACTCATAATCAAAAAAAAGTGCACTTTTAAATAAAATTAACACAGAGAGACAGTTAAAACTACAACCCAAAAGATGAGCAGATTATTT